CTTACTTAATAAGTCATAATGATGATAATAATAGTAATAATAATAATAATAACAATTATAATATTAATAATAATAATAATTATGATAATTATGATGATAATAATAATCCTCATCATTATTGTAATTGTGTTTATTGTTATTAGCCGCATTCACACGGTGAAAGCCAATTCAGACGGTAAAAAAAGAAAATCTTACAAGTATTTTGTGGTTATCTTGTGGTTTGGAAACCACAAGATAACCACAAGATTAAACAGGCGCGGATCTACGGGGGGTGGGGGGTTAGGGGGTTTAAACCCCCCCCCCCCCCTTGGGTGGCCCAAAAAACAAACCAAAAAAAAAAGGGAAAAAAAAAGAAGAAAAAAAGAAAAAAAAAGAAAGAAAAAAGAACGCACGCTGGAGAGAAACCCTTTCAAGTGCAAATATTGTGAGAAGATATTCAACTCTCTGGTAACTTAACCAAACACATGATAACTCTGGATATAACTGTGTATTTAACTGTTACTTGATTTAAAAAGACGTTATCATGCACTGCTTTTTATGGCCTCCATTGTGTTAATAGATGCCAGGAAAACATCACTTACGGGGTTCAAATAAACACCCAAAAAAAAATCGGCTCGCCGCTTCGCGGCTCGTGGACGATGCTCGCATCGTCATTATTGGTCAACCCCGGCCCCTTAGCAAAAAGCTAGATCCGCCCCTGAGTCATCCCCAGGTGTACGTACCTGTCTACGCCACTGTACATGTATAATTATATACAACATTATATTCCAGCATAGATTTCGATAACGATTTTCGAGCGACATAGGGCAAATACACGAAACGTGAGAAAAGTGTAAGACTCTTACAAGAGTACAAGACCCTTTCTCACTCCATCACGCAAATAGATTAATACAATCTTTTGTGATGCTATATCAGCCATGCTGCAGCTCGATCTGTCGCTGTATACCTACCTGACAGTAAACATATGTTCCGAATGCAACAAAATACAATGCTAATCAGATCGACCTAGCACAATGCTTAATAAATATAATCTGCCTCACCTCATTTTTTATTAATGACATCACACGTTTAAATTTAGGCGTAGATATCAGGCTCGGGCCGGTAATTCGGAGAATCATAGATCATGGGAATCTGTACACAGCAGCCTGCAAGTAGTCAGCTTTATAATTATATCTGTCACAGTCTTCGTGCAGTCGCTTCTATTTTATGCTCCATCGACGTCGCCGTCAGCGATTGAAAAGAGCTACCAGTTTAGCTTTCTAAGTGAGCAGCTAAAGGGATTACTCCATCAAGTAAAACTAGGTTCAAGCTCACAATCCGAGCAGCTACTACATCTACTGCAGTAGGCAGCTTGAGAAAGTTAAGCGAGAAGTGATTTGCTGGAGCAACCATAGTGATTACCCGTTACGTGATTAGTTTCCCAATTATTGCCCGAGTGCTTTAAAAGCATCCTACGCGTCACGTCGTTAGAAATTCGCCATATATCGTAATCACTGAAACATAGGAGCCACGTCTACCGTGTTTTTTAGCTAATGCATAATTTTAGTAAGAGTAGTAGGCAGCTTTGACCCAAAACAGACTCTAAAAAGCATAATGCCTACACGAGACCTTGTTTTATTTGATAATTAGAAGTCCATATTAACTACGTTCAGCTAGTCACGATGTGTGTCTCACCTCCCTGGAAGCACCGAGTTCTTTGTAGAAAAGGACTACATATCATGCTCACTAAATCTGGACTTTTTATTTGATCGCTTCTAAACAAAAATATTACCACATACTGAACAACCGAAATCCATTCCCTAAGTCGATGTCGATGGAATAATACACTACCACTGTAATGAGTATGCGCGGAGGAAGAATAAAGCTAATCTCCACACTTTTAGGGCTGTTTCGTAAACGGATTAAAATAGCATTTTTGTTAATATGCTTTTGTCAGACAAGTCACTTTGTAATGTTAAGTTGAAGTTTTCTTTTACTGATTGATGCCAGTAGCGGTTCAAGAGGAGAGTGGCTTCGAATTTCACTTCTAATTTCGCCTCGTTTTGAACCTCTGTAGTGGATATAATTTTTTTTTGTTAACGATAATTCTCCCTCTCTCCTTGGCTCTCAGCAGAATCATGAGAATAAGAAGGATAATCCAAAAGTGCTTAAACCTTTCCCCCTTCTCTCCCTCTCTCTCTCTCTCTCTCTCTCTGCAGCTCTATCAGTCTGATCCCTCTTTTTCAGTATTACCCCCCTCTCTCTATCTCTCTCTCTCTAGTAACAGTAGCAGCAGTAGCAGTAGTAGCAGTAGCAGTAGTAGCAGTAGTAATTATGGTAGTAATAGTAGTAGTAGTAGTAGTAGTAGTAGTAGAACACCTAATGTAAAACGCCTCATGACACGGTACTTGAGATTATAATGTTTGACAACCCAGCCACCGAATAAGGCACCTATAAAACTTGATGGTGTGATGATGATGCCTATGGAGATAGGAAAACGAAAACATTGAACAATAAGAGT